ATCATATAGCTCATAGACGTGGCCTCAGTGTTTTTGGTGACACAGTAGATAAATATATATATATATATATATATATATCGGCCATCAGAAATGACCATCAGCAACATCTGATCTGATCCGCAGCCTCTGCTGTCTGTCTGTGAAACTATGCAACAGTGACTTTAACAATGCCACTAAAAATAACTATAATCATAAAAATAAAATGTTAATGTCAGTGTCCACACCAGCCCACAATAACTGACAATGACTATAACAATACAGATATACAACAATACAGATAACAACAACTATAACAATACCGATATACAACAATACAGATGACAACAACTATAACCATACCAATATACAACAATACAGATGACAACAACTATAACCATACCGATATATAACAATACAGATGACAACAACTATAACAATACTAATATATAACAATACAGATGACAACAATGACTATAACAATACCGATATATCACAATACTGATATATAACAATACCGATAACAACAATGACTATAACAATACTGATATATAACAATACAGATGACAACAACTATAACAATACTGATATATAACAATACAGATGACAACAACTATAACAATACTGATATACAACAATACAGATGACAACAACTATAACAATACTGATATATAACAATACAGATGACAACAACTATAACAATACCGATATATAACAATACAGATGACAACAATGACTATAACAATACCGATATATCACAATACTGATATATAACAATACCGATAACAACAATGACTATAACAATACTGATATATAACAATACAGATGACAACAATGACTATAACAATACCGATATATAACAATACAGATGACAATGACTATAACAATACCGATATATAACAATACCGATAACAACAATGACTATAACAATACTGATATATAACAATACAGATGACAACAACTATAACAATACCGATATATAACAATACAGATGACAATGACTATAACAATACCGATATATAACAATACTGATAACAACAATGACTATAACAATACCGATATATCACAATACTGATATATAACAATACCGATAACAACGACTATAACAATATCAATATATAACAATACCGATAACAACAATGACTATAACAATACCGATATATCACAATACTGATATATAACAATACCGATAACAACAATGACTATAACAATATCAATATATAACAATACCGATAACAACAATGACTATAACAATACCGATATATCACAATACTGATATATAACAATACCGATAACAACAATGACTATAACAATATCAATATATAACAATACCGATAACAACAATGACTATAACAATACCGATATATCACAATACTGATATATAACAATACCGATAACAACAATGACTATAACATTGCAATATATAACAATACCGAAAACAACAATGACTATAACAATATCAATATATAACAATACCGATAACAACAATGACTATAACATTGCAATATATAACAATACCGATAACAACGACTATGATAATATCGATATATAACAATACCGATATATAAAAATACTAATAAAAATGACTATAACAATACTGATACGTCACAATACTGATATATAACAATACTGATATATAACAATACCGATAACAGCAATGACTATAATAATGCTGATATATAACAATACAGATGACAACGACTATAACAATACTGACATATAACAATACAGATAACTATATCAGTGACTGTACCAACCGGTGATAACTATGACAATAACAGCTATTGTAACTGATAACAATTCCTTTAGCAGTACCAAATGTTGTCTCTCTGTCAGACTACTATAGGAACTGCAGCTAGTTTCCATCGTAACATGAAGCCAATCTGTTCAGTTTGCAAAAAAGAAACCATTCAGTGCATTTCCGTTGCTGTTAGAGCAGCTCACTGAGGTATTGGTAACTTAGCAACCATCAGTAAACAAACCAAGCATAACGGAGCCACAGATACGTGTAATGTTGACTATGTCATGTTTACTCTGCAGATGCGTTTACAAATGATTGGCATTAACCCTTTTGGCACAGATATCTCACAAACTTTTTTGAAAACTAACCAATGAAACTAATGAAAGAGTTTACGGTTGTTGCGCCTCGCAGGTGTAGGACTGACGCTCTGCTGTGTGTGTGTGTGTGTGTGTGTGTGCAGGTGCAGTATTGACGGTGTGGAGGATAAGCGCATCATCAGTATGCAGATCGACAGCCGCAGCCGATCTCTGTTCGTGGCCTTCAGCTCCTGTGTGGTTCGAGTCCCGCTCGCGCGCTGCCAGCGCCATGGAAAGTGCAAGAAGTGCGTGCAGATCACACTATACATCAGTCTTTCTTTCTTTTTAATTCTTTTAAACCTGTTCAAACACGTCTTTCATTGCTAGTGATCATCATGTGTTTAGATGTGAGTGTCAGTGTGTCAGTCTTCAGGATATCTATAATCCAGTGTGTCCAGCACTGACAGAGTTCACCTGTCGCAGGAAAATATGAGTCTAAGAAAAAAACTCCTCAGTGTTTAGCCCAGTATACGTCTAAAAATACATAATAAAGATCTTTTCAAAAGTCTTAAATGTGACCTGCAGAAAGCCTGGTGTGAAAGCGCCGTGCTCCCCCTCCTCCAGCAGTCTCCGCTTCAGATGTTAGGTCCACGTTTGGTGCACACCTGAACACAAGCTGCTGTCACACCTGAACAAACCAACCACACCAAACAGACAACATTAGATTTAACCGAAAGCACCCTAAATCTTCCCCTCGCTAGTGTCCACACTAACCCTCCTCAGTTCAATTGCTCTGTGTCTCTATAACAGTGTCCCGTGTGTCTCTGTCAGGTCCTGTATCGCCTCCAGAGACCCGTACTGCGGCTGGGTGTCCGAGGGCGCCTGCAGAGAAATCACATCTGATGCAAAGTAAGTGCCTCACTCTCAGGCCTGTAATTATAGATCACAGCCGCCAGCGCTGATGTCACTCTACCCAGAGGCATGATGGGATTGTGGTTTGAGCCGCTGGAGCTTCTCATCTGGAAAAAAAGAGTGTTTGACCCCAGAATGCCTCTGTAATTCATCTCTTTATTTATATCACGTATTAAATGAGCAGCATGTGGCGTTTGTGAACGCCTGCGTCATCATGTGATCATCATGGCTGCGTCTGATCTGTACAGCTCATATACACTACATTACTGCTCATATACACTGCATTACTGCTCACATACACTGCATTACAGCTCATATACACTGCATTACTGCTCATATACACTGCATTACAGCTCATATACACTGCATTACAGCTCATATACACTACATTACTGCTCACACACACTGCATTACTGCTCACACACACTGCATTACAGCTCATATACACTGCATTACTGCTCATATACACTGCATTACTGCTCATACACACTGCATTACTGCTCATATACACTGCATTACTGCTCACATACACTGCATTACTGCTCACATACACTGCATTACTGCTCTCACACACTGCATTACTGCTCACACACACTGCATTACTGCTCACACACACTGCATTACTGCTCACACACACTGCATTACTGCTCACACACACTGCATTACAGCTCACATACACTGCATTACTGCTCATATACACTGCATTACTGCTCTCACACACTGCATTACTGCTCACACACACTGCATTACTGCTCACACACACTGCATTACTGCTCACACACACTGCATTACTGCTCACACACACTGCATTACTGCTCATATACACTGCATTACTGCTCATACACACTGCATTACTGCTCACACACACTGCATTACAGCTCATATACACTGCATTACTGCTCACATACACTGCATTACTGCTCATACACACTGCATTACTGCTCATATACACTGCATTACTGCTCACACACACTGCATTACTGCTCATACACACTGCATTACTGCTCACACACACTGCATTACTGCTCATATACACACTGCATTACTGCTCATATACACTGCATTACTGCTCATATACACTGCATTACTGCTCATATACACTGCATTACTGCTCATATACACTGCATTACTGCTCATCTGATTGAGTTTTTACTCTTTAGAAATGGAGCGGATGGAGGGTATCTGAGCTCAAACTCTGTAATTGTTCTAAAGTGACTTAGGAAAGGATTATGGGATACGATCTGTGTCCACAGTTCAGCAGAAGCTTTTCTAAAACATGCCTTAAGCAAGAGTGTGTTTGTTTCTCTCTGGAGCGTCAGAGATCATCATCGTTATAATCTTATATTGTCTTTCTGCACACTCATATACAGATAACAGAGCTTAGCATTGAGAGGCATCACGGGGAAAAAGATATGTTTGAATAAATCTGAGCTCAACTTCACTCTAGTTGGTGATTATATTGCAATCCATCCGCCATCAATTCTGCTCAAATTATCTTGATTTTTATAGTGCTTTATAATGTAGACTGTGCACTTAATATAGATAAAGAACAGATAGTTAAAGTCATAATACTGCAAACTGTGGATCATTCCAGCAATTCAGAAGTCAGTAGTAAAGCGCAGTGTTTTATTCATATTCACAGCACATTTGGGATCTTGTTTTCTGCTTCATTTTGACATGATATTGAATGACGTTTGTTCCCTCAAACATGTATTATTATTTGAAAATGTACTTGAGATTGAAGTCAGCTAGTGTGAAATAGAGGTGTTGAAGCCAGTCGTCTCACTGCGTGTGTGTGTGTGTGTGTGTGTGTGTGTGTGTGTTGCGTGTGCGCAGATGGCCGTTCGAGCAG